TCGGGAATAATAATATCACATCGGGACTGGGGACTACATGACCGGCCCCGTAAAAATAAGTTGTACAAGTTAGCTACATGTATTGGCAGTTTCTTTTTTTCCTTTAGCAAACGAATGCTTATGTAATTTTAAATATAGAAGGAATAAAATAAAGTCCTTTTATTTTTATCTTATTTCTTGTCCAAATGATAAGTTGATTTTATCATTTGAAAGTTAACAAAAATCTTCAAAATCTTATGCCGAAATGAACAGGAGACGTCCTCTTCAAGAGCACCGTAAACATAAGAGGGCCCTCTCTTATGAAACCCTTATAGAAAAGGGTTGATTTCGGAAGAGTTTATGCCCAGAATCAGAAGTTATTGGATGAAAATATACCCGAAGCTTTATCTAATTCAATGCAAAATGAATAAATTTTGCACAATGCATAAGCAAATTTATTTTCATGTACCAAAATGCCAAAATCAATAGAAAGTCTGACATAATTACAAAGTACCAAAAAAACACACAAAGAAGAAAACTTCTAAGCATTGTCGCCACCGGAGTCCGAAGGGAGAGTGGGAACTGTGTCTCCCCCGGTGGAATAAGGAGGATCAACTGTCAGTTCTTGGCCTTCATCCCCATCTTCTTCAATCTCTTCCTCGGTCCCCTAGAACTCGGAACCAGCACCTGAAGAATCAACTGCAGCAGCGGGAAGACGTTCTCGAGCAGTCTCTAGTTCTCAGGCCTTGGCGATGCAATCATCAATGTCGATGATGACCGCTTTGGCCTCTTCCAAGGATTTTCTCCTCATTCGATATATAGAATATGTCTTCTAAAACACTAGGGAATCCTCTTGGAACTGGATCTTTGCCTTAATCCTATCGACCTTGGACTGAAGGTCATCCCTCTCGGATCTCATGGAACTGAGGCTCAAGTCAAGTTCACGAGTTGTAGATAGGTGAATTCGGTTTTGCTCCATGATCTTTTTGAGCCTTTCTTCCATTTTGGCCCTCATCTCCTTGGCGGCATTGGCTTCCTCGATTTTGGAGTACAAGGCTGCCTTCAAGTTATTCACTTGCTCCTCGGAGGCAAACTCGCGTTCAATAGCAGCAAGTACAGTATCTTGGAGCTCGACCCACTTAGCCTTAGCTTCTTGGAGTTGTTCATGTAATGAAGTAGCTATTGGCTATGGGCCATCATCTCTCGTTCACTTTGCTGCAATCGGGCCTTAAGCTCGCCCGCCTCAGCAGTCTTTGCCTTCAGCACTGTAAGTTGGTCCCTTTTAGCCAACAGTTGATCCTGCTCGGACGGGAGTCGTTGCTTATCGAGGATTAAATTCTACAGGCCCTCAGAAGCAAGGAAATTGGCCTGTAAAAAAGGAATATCAAGATTAGAAATCTTATTGCAATAGATAAATGGAAAAGAAGTTATAAGAGGACAAGTGTGGTACCGCTGTCACGCTATGCATGGCGTTATTCAACAAACACTCCCTTGAAAGGGAGCATATTTTCTTCTTATCTTTCTCTGAAGCCAACCACTTCTGGTAGTTTGCAAGTTCTACCAACCTGGATAGCAGATGACACTCCTTCGAAACCGAAAAATAGCACTTCTCCTCCTTTAGGGATTTGGGGAAAGGGGTGAGTATTTATACTCCAAATTCCCATGGTCTGGAGACTAGGGACGAGAAACATCTCTCTCGAGAGCATCTGTTACCGGTGGAGGAGAAGCAGTGGGTGCTAGCAACGAAGCTACAATTGGTGTCGAGGGGTGTGAAGTGGTTGGCGTAGAAGGTTGAGAAGCAGCTGCGGCAGGAGCAATGCTGATTATTGGTTGCTCAGTGTTCGAAGGCAAAAAAGGCTTGGGGTTCGAGCTCCTTGGACCAGAAATAGAAACAGGGGTCGGAAAGCGAATCAACATCCTCTACTATCTCCATTTCAACCCAAATTGCTTAGACCTCACACGCGGTCGTGTTTTGAAGCTCTCCTAGTTGAGCATCCGATGGAGCTGATGAAGATCTTTTCCTCCTTTGAAGGGAAGCCTCTTCATCACTAGCTTTCCCTTCATCTTTAATGACCACTATGACTGTGGCCAGATCGGTCGTGGCCTTCTTTATTTTCTTATTTTGAGTCTTAATAGAAGAAAAACATTGCCTTTTTGGTTGCTTGTTCTCTGGCTGGGGACTCCGAGAGGAAGCACCTTCACTGGAAGCAGATCCACGGGAACTGCTTCGAGCAAGGGCACTTTATAGCACCCTCCTGGCCTCCTCGGTGTTTGTTAAAATGTGGACTTCGGGGAAAGTAATAGAGCCTTGCAGAAGTCCTGAATTGAGTAAAAGAGAAAACAGGGTCAGTAACTTTTTAATAAAGTTACCTATGATTGTACAAAGGTAAAAGGGAAAAGGGGAATCGGTTTACCATGGCTCTTGGCCTTCCACCCATATTTAGGGGCCATTTCCTTCCATTGGCGGGAATTTGGTGTTATAATTTCCAGAATCTTTTGAACCCACTGGTCCGGACCTTGAACCCGTGGTGGTGTCCATCGGGCAGCTGAGACAAAAGAAATGAGAATGATCAACAATAACGGAAAATAATTTTTTCAAGAAGGAGGGAAAAAAATAAGAAACTTATGGAAACGGTTCCACGGCTCGGGAAAAGACAGAGTTATGGCCGAAATAATGTCCCTGGTTGCAATGATGACAAACCGCTCCATCCACCCGCGATCATTGTCATGATCCACGCTGGTGAGGATAGCGTGGTAGCCACGTTTGCCGAAATTTATTACTTCCCACGAAAGATTTTGGGGGAGTAGAGATTCATCATTTGGGCCAAGGTTAGAGTTTTCCCAATCTCCGTGCACAACTGACATAGGCAAGACACCATTTGCCATATAGATGGGACTACTTGCGCCAAGCAGACGTGGTACCGGCAAAAAAGTACAAATTACGGGGTCGAGCCCTGTACTCGTCCCCAAAGAAAACGAACCATAGGTGAAGGGATACGTATAAAAATACGTAAAACCTTTCTTGGTGTAGGTAACGCGCTCTATCATTTCTAGAGAAAGTTGTTAAGTCTGGGCAGTTGCAGTTCTCCTTCATAGCAGGAATACTGGAAGGGCGAATAGAGAAGGGGTATTTGCTAACGGCCTAAGTTCATGGAGAGGCGAACAGAAGGTTCTCCTCGAAGTCATTGGCGGTACTTAGCTGTTTGTGTATGATGGTATTTACAGTGGGAGGCTCGGAATCAATATCAGCTTCTTTGTTTTTGTTTCTCTTCGGGCCTCCACCAAAAATAAGACCAGAGTTTCTAAAAGATTTACTAGAAGAAGCCATGGTAGTAAAAAGGTAGTATAGTTTTTAGAGAAAGCCAGAAAAGATGAAAGTTTTCTAAGCAGGAGGAGGTTGAGTGCAGAGATGATGATGAACTTATGAAAATTTTGTAAAGTGAAAGAGGTAAAATGATGAGTATAAGTAAAGATATAGACGTCAAAAATTGTGGTCATGATTGTCTCGAGAACCGACAAAAAATATTGTTGAATCGTGGGGCAACATGTGTTTGGGATATTAAATGCAAGAAGACGTACGACCTTTCAAGCGTCAGAGACTGTTCAGGAGAATTTCCGCCAAGAAAGGGATCTTCACAAACTTTCTGGTGACACAAAGATTGTCACTGGAAAGCAGGGGGACTATCTGTTTAAGATAAAATTGGTCCGTAATAAATGGTCGAATGACAGCATGCCACGTAGAGCCGAAGACAGGTAAAAGGCGAGTCAAGTAACTACCAGTACCAGTTGGTATCGGATAAACCCCGAAGGGAGTCAGGTCAACGAGAGCAGTTTGAATGTTTGCCATGAGATAACATTCAATGAAGATTATTCTCTAACATTAAATGGGGAGACGTTGCGGAGAATATTTGCATTAATGTCCCGCCCTTACATATTCATCAGTGGCTCCTTTATTGTCATTTAAGTGGAGTTTGATCCTAGGATCTTGTTTCCCTAAGTATAGCTATAAATAGCAGGCTCAGTAGCCATTGTAGACACGAAGTTCTTTGTAAAACTTATGCTATATTCCACTTTTACTCTCAATTAAAATAACTTTATTTGCTCTTTTATTTTGTTCTCATTTTTGTTCTCAGAGACGCTGTTCTCGGAGCCAGGCTTGTCACCTTCTTCAATTTTAATTGCTAAGTCTTATTTTTAATCTTTTTTATTTACCATTTTTGAATCAAATCAGTTCGTTTGTCTATAAATCACGTAATAAATTCAACTGCACCGTTTTACGGATAAACAAAGGGTTAACACAAATGCTTTGGACTGGATAGGTTTATTAAAGATTAAGTACATAGAAAAACTTATTTTGTAAGGAGTTAAATTTGTGTCTAGAGCAGAAAATGGACCAGTAATACCAGTTCAGCTGTTACTCAAAGATAAGCTTCTGAATCTTTTGCCACGAGTGGGATGCCATGAACATCTCGCGACTGAATTTGAAACAGCTGAAAGTAGTTGAAGGACTATGTTAAGAATAAAAATAAGAAGACTTTATGGTAGGTGTTATGTTTGCGTAAAAGATGGGACATATTTATTTCTTTAATTTTGTTATTCAAATGATTCACGACCTCTTAAGACATGACGAAGGCCAAAAGCTATTAAAGATGAAGAGTTTGAATTTTAAGATTTTTTTTTAAAGTTCCAATTAAATGGGGCCGGCTATCTTTTTTCTTGAATATTCCTCCTCTCCATTGACATTTGATAGTTCGGCTCATGTCTTCTCCTCTGTAGACACAATTTTAAGCCGGAAGATATATATTTTAACTCCTTTCAAAATTTATTTTTTTAAGTACCTAACCTTTAAAAGCCTATTAAGTACTTTCCTAAGTCAAAACATTATTGATTATTCTCGTGCTGGCCACTTAATACTTCTTCTCCTTTAATTTGCGGTAGGCCATTCCAACACTATAAATATATCCAAAAGAAACAGCCCCATTATATCCCACCTTTTGCCTTTACAACTAACAATCTCCTCTGCTTTTCACACTACAAGTTAACACTACCGCTTCACTTTTTGAGGAAAATGAAGCATATGAGAAATAACATGTTTGATTTCTTCTTGTGTTTGCTTTACGCTGTGGCCACAACTGGTACAGTGTCAGCGACAACATCATCTTCGGCGTTGGAGTACTCAAGTGTTAAAATCAGCCCAGCATTAGCGATAGTACTCGCTTGTGTCGTATTATTCGTGGTTGCATTTTTCATCACATTATATATACGTCACATGAACCCCGACGAACCAATGGGTTCTTACTTCTTCCGTCATCGACCAGTTTCCCGTGGACTCGAACCTAATATCATCGAAACTTTGCCGGTATTTGTGTACTCCGATGTCAAAGCCGTAAAGATTGGCAAATCTATCCTAGAATGTGCTGTTTGCTTAAACGAGTTCGAAGATGAAGATACTCTTCGCCTTCTTCCGAATTGTTGCCACGTGTTCCATCCTGAGTGCATTGATGCTTGGCTTGCCTTTCGTACCACTTGCCCAGTTTGCCGTGCAAATCTCAAAACAAAACCTTCTGCTAAACTGCAAGAAACAATTCAGCAATCAGAGAATGTTAGCTCAGTTTCATCACTAGAAACAAATGATGCAGTAATAGATATTCACGTGACTGCTGGTCCACAGGAAGTGATGAACCAGCAGTCTTCTCAAACACCCGTTCATATTTGTTCAACAAAATCTACACCAAGAAATAAAACACCCAACTTCGCCCGCCTTGCACCAAAATCAACCACTGCTAGAATTCCTGCATAAAAAAAAGCTACCAAAATTTTGCGACCAAAGTTGGTTTGCCAAGAAAAGCGACCAAAGTTGGTCGCTAAACTGGTGAAAATAATAAAATAATGATTTTAAATAAATTAGCGACCAACGTTGGTCGCAACTTGGTCGAAAATTTTGTCAAACTGTTGACCGGACGGGTCAGACTTGCTTGGTCAAAGAATTACTCAGATTAGCGACCAATATTGGTCGCTTCATGGGACCCACTTATTAAATTTTAATAACTATAACATTATTTTTAAAAAATAACAAAATATAAATAAATAAAATTTAAAATTAGCGACCAAGGTTGGTCGCTATATAAAGAGAAAACAGGTTGAGACCAACTTTGGTCGCTAATTTGGGACCCAGTTATAAAATTTTAATAATTATAATTTTGTTTAAAAAAATTATAAAATATAAATAAATATAATTCAACTTTAGCGACCGATGTTGGTCGCTCAGTAGAGTATAGACCAACTTTGGTCGCTAATCTGGGACCCGGTTAATATTTTAAATATGATAAAAAAGATAAATAAATCTGATTTAAGTTTAGCGTCCAACCTAGGTCGCTAATTTAAAATTATGTATGTTTAGCGACTAAAGTTGGTCGCTATTTAGGTCAACAAAGGTCAAAATTAAAAATTACTTTTGTATTTAGTAAATAAAGAATATAAATGTTAGCCGTTAACACTTTTGTAATACAAGGGATGAATAGTACTACGAAGCGTGCGTGTGTGTCTATATATATATATATATATATATATATATATATATATATATATATATATATATATATATATATAATATATATATTATGTATGTTTAGCGACAAAGTTGGTCGCTATTTAGGTCAACAAAGGTCAAAATTAAAAATTACTTTTGTATTTAGTAAATAAAGAATATAAATGTTAGCCGTTAACACTTTTGTAATACAAGGGATGAATAGTTACTACGAAGCGTGCGTGTGTGTCTATATATATATATATATATATATATTATATAATATATACTTAACGCTATACTATGCACTAAGTATAAGTTGTATTAGGTAATATTAATATCGAATGTAAGCTTAATATACTATAACATATATACTTACGCTATACTATGCACTAAGCATAAGTGTATTAGGTAATGTAGCTTATACATATATAATATATATACTTACGGTGTACTATGCACTAAGCATAAGCGTATTAGGTAATATTATATCGATATGGCTTATACATATGGAATATATATACTTACGCTGTACTATGCACTAAGTATAAGCGTATTAGGTAATATTATATCGAATATGGCTTATATATATGTAATATATATACTTACGCTGTACTATGCACCAAGTATTAAGCGTATATAGGTAATATTAATATCGAATATGGCCTTATATATATGTAATATATATACTTACGCTGTACATGCACTAAGTATAAGCGTATTAGGTAATATTATATCGAATATGACTTATATATATGTAATAATAATATACTTACGCTGTACTATGCATAAGTATAACGTATAAGGTAATATTATATCGAATATGCTTATATATATGTAATATATATACTTACGCTGTACTATGCACTAAGTATAAGCGTATAGGCAATATTATATCGAATATGGCTTATGATATGTAATATAATACTACGCTGTACATCACTAAGTATAACGTATTAGTTAAACGAATGTAGCTTATATTTATATTATATATAATATATATATACTTACGCTTATACTAATGCACTAAGTAATAAGCCGTATTAAGGTAATATTATATCGAATATGGCTTATCATATATGTAATATATATAGATACGCTGTAACTATGCACTAAGTATACAGGTATTAAGTAATATTATACAACGACATGTAGCTTATATATATATATAACTCAATATACATTATATTCAATTATCTATATTTATATATTATGATCATTTATATATACATTATGACAATAATACCTAACCACTATTTATTTATCTTTACGGCCTTCCACGTAATGCACTTACACTGTACTCCGATAGACGAGCGCTCACCCTTAGGTAATATTATATCCGGGTCGAGATATTACCTCATATCTTATTATTATACTCACTGAGGCCTATATTCATTAGTATATATTAGTCTCACAGTGCCCGTCCACTCAAAGCACTATATCACTTTAGGATCGTCATATATATATATATATAAAAACCTCATTATGATTTTATTATTATTCTACTTATACCATATCCTTCCAGTGATACTAAGTATTGGTATTATTTTTATATTATATTCATACTACCTCACTATATTCTACCATAAACCAAGCTCCATCCACAATTCTAAGTACCCTATATAAACTTAGTATATACACTTTAGTTTTAAAAATGAATTAAAATTCTAAAAATTTTATTTTTAAATTAAACTTAAAATAATTTAATTTTTGCTTATATATGGTCGAACCAAACTTTGTCGCCATTTTGGTCAAACGGTCAAAAAATGGCGACCAAGTTGGGTCGCTATGTGGTCAAATTAGTACCAATTAATCTATTTTGCCATACCAGCACCATAGTCGATTTCCACAAGGTGGAGTAGCTATCGTTTTTAACATATCAGAGTCACAGAAACTTGCGCTGATCCTCAGGTGCCCATCCCACACAATGGTTATGTTATTCTTACCAACACACACATTTGAGCAAACTCTCTCCTCGACCACATATTCCCTTAACTACAATCAATAACTCCCTCCAACACTCCTTGCCACTGCAGTCGCCTGGAGCTGCTCGCTCGCCACTTCCAAAACCCGTGCTTCCACTTTTTCCGTCGTCTCGGAATGGGCTTAAGCCTGGATTCAAACCCATTTCCCCTAAAAATCGGTGGTTAAAGCAAATGCCCGGAAACCCTTAAAAAATTGTTGCATGTGTTCTGCCTACTTGTCTTGCTTTGTGAAGCTTGTGAAAAGTCTTCTCTCACCCCACACCCTGTGTGCACACACACTGTTAATTCTCACTTTTACACTCTTATCCAAGTTTAGTAATTACTCACCCCTTTCTTAGCTTTTAATTTGGTAGAGTTTTCGCCCACTATAATAAATTTTATGATAATTCTTTCATGAATTGTTTGTTTGAATATTTACGATATATAAGTGTTATTGGTTTGAACTAGAATCTACGATTTAATTGAAGGACTCTAGAAACTCCATCGCATCTGTTAGTTCTTGTATTAATTTATATTTGATTGAATTGTGAAAGAACAACTTCATATATATTACACACTACCCTAATATAAAGGAAGTACTCTGTAAATACATTGTCCTATATATAAGAATAATGAATCCCACTTATCGCTAGAATATATCGTCTCCTCTCTTGCTTTATTCTCATGTATACCGATGGAACATACCGTACTTGGACTCGCTACAATATTATCTCCTCTAATTGACCGGTGACTCGGTGCGCATTCAGGATTTTAATTGTAGATTAGAGCGGTTAGAATGACTCTCATTCTCAAGTTACACAGCAATATTGTCACTCTTATCCGCCATATCATATATGCCTACACCGAAGTAATTAGTGCTCTACTCTCGCTCGCTCTCTCAGCAAGCCACTTGATATTGAAAGTTTGACATAAACCCATCGGAAGCCGCACGCTAGAGAGTTCACTCTTCTATGAGTACCACGATTACGGGTTTTATCCCATCGCGCACACTTCACCATTGATAGAGAGACTTGTTCTATGTGTTATGACGCACTAGACTCGCACGCCTCATGAGGAATTTATTTCATAAATCTATCGTTGTTTGGTTGATGAGCTCAATACGCGCTTCATATGCTGCGACGTTAATACAAATCGTAGTTCACTAGAATTCATATTGGTTTGCGGATTTCCTTGCTTGGACTGACACACACAATGTTGGGGTTGAAGTCCAACGAAATGCTCGCAACACACTCCTAATGCCCATGAACGCGGAAAACTTCGTTTTTAATGAAGCTTTAGAGGAAGCTTATTCCGTATCCCACGGCCCTACAGATAGGAAGTTCGCACTGATAGGGAGTTGTCTGTTGCATTACCGCAAAGCCTTATGTATGAGGCTAAGTTTATGATGAGAATTTTAGTCCTGAATATGAGGGATACTACTCTCTCTCGAGGTTAGAGCCATGACTCCTTCATTGAACTTACTCGCCGTAACTAGTTGGCCCGTGGAATATTCTGAATTATCACTGGTGATTTCTACAAGCAAGAGTAGATTAGTTTTCTAAGTTAGGAACTTTTCGTCATTGGACAATTTGACTCCTCGTTGTATAAGATGGTGCATTTGTGTTCACTATATATATGTTATAAAAGATGACGGCATCCTACGGTATACTCGGACCATATATAGTTTGCGAAAGCCTTCTGCTAAAGGCATATTACCAGTGGGAAATCAAGGCGCCCCTACACTATCGAAGTCAATGCGATTTTATATTCCTTTCTTATCAATCAGATTACGCAGGTGGTACTATCCCTGGCAGTCGATGAGTTATCTGCTTAAAAAAACTCATTAATGAGAGGCCACACTTGGAACTTTCTCGCAGAATGAAAGACACAGCCTATGTAATTGTGATGTCATTCCTTATGGCAGAGGATGAAGACGATATGTCTAATATTGAGCCACCTTTGATAGGACTATCCACTCGTAAGTAGGTGACTTAGTGCCGAAGACCGATTAGGATGTTACGAAGTTAGGTTCTGTTGTGTTCGGATGCCGCTTCCACGCCTCTCTCTATCTGTAATCCTCCTGCATCTATTAGAACACCTTATTCCTATATTTATTCATTTTGAAGACCATTTAACATAGACTGTCTTTCTTTATTATCTGCCTTGATAATTCAACACTGGCCCGTTACCTCAATCCCTCCGAGATCTTTGGTGCATAATAGTCACTACACTATCCTTCTTAAATTGTATTAACTCTCCGTTCACGTAATCCGAAAAGTTTGAATTGATGTATATTTGCAACGCTATTGA